TGTGTGTGTGTGTGTGTGTGTGTGTGTGTGTGTGTGTGTGTGTGCAGGGCTGGCCCTGAAGCCTGGTGTTGGTGAGGAAATCCTCAACACACTGAAGGTGATTCTTCTTTTCATTTCATGATTTGCCTCTCCAACGTTTCAGTTCTCAGCATGCTCACTCATGGCAGTCGCCGTCGGCCCCACTAATTGGTGTACAATTTGACTGGGGTCCGTGTACACATTTCATGATTGTCCTTTCCGAGCATGGATGACTTGTGGGTGGGAAAATGTAGCTCATGTTGCACTCCTTTGCAACCACTGCCTGTCGTGAAAGGGGGTCACTGGGAAGGACCAACCCTTGGTCAACCCCCAACCATGTCTACGAGACGCAGTTGAACGGGTTCGTGAATGTGAGGTGTCGCACTCCTTTGCTGCCTTCCTGCCTGCCCTATCAGCTGTATGTATCTCGCTGCAGTGCTCCTTCTGCAACTGCAAGCATTGTAAAACAGCCACGCTGCCTGGGGCTCAGTGATTTAATAACACAGGGCTCTGCGCAAAAAAAGGATGTCATATCTCCCACAAAAGTAATTGCTGCCAAAATGTCAGACCAAGCTGGTGCAGGTACCAACGCCTACTTCCACTAAAGCAGAACACACAAGAAATTGATAGGTCCAGGCTTGAACCATGTCTCTGCCGGTCCCATAGGCGGTCGAATTGAACTGCCGAAGTATTCTCAAATATTAAAACAAACAAAAATGGACAAACAAAAATATTGCAAAGGCACCGTTTGCTCTTGGGTTAGCTGAAGCCGGATCAAGTTTCAATCGATTTTTTTTTATTTTTTTATTTTTTTTTTGCACGAGTGATATTTTGAGAGCAGGGGCAGCAGCGTGGTCATTTGGCATTTTGGGGAGGATGGAGATCTTTGCGCTTGTATCGATGACCATTATTATGCAAGAATGGAAATTTTGTCCTTCAGTTGACCGACTGTCCGCTTCTGTTACGGACCCAGCCAGGGCTCGATCCCTGGTCCGCAGGTTACCAACCGCCAGGCCGCTATTTTATTTTTGGGTCTCTGTTCTCAGGCCTCTGACTGTTGGCGCCCTCTGCAGTTGGTGGCCATTCTCAAATTCCTCTTTTGGCACTTTCGGATTTCAATACTTGGCGCCATCCGGCATTTTGGCACTCAGACTCAGACCTTCGATTTTCAGTTCAGCCCTGAGGCAATGTGCACTTCTGCCCTAGGGACTGAACGAGTCCGGTACTTAAGACCGGACTCAAGCCCAGTAGGGGGGGGGGGGGGGGCAAGCAGTTTTCAGCCTCATTGCTTGTGTTCAGTGTGACTATGCTTCGACATTGTGTTCAGGAATCCAAGACTGCGACTTTGCGACTTTGCCACTTTGTGTCTGCATCCGTCGAGTAGTGTTGAGTGAGCGTGTGTGTGCGCTCTCACTCTCCCTCCCTCTCCCAGCCTCGCTGCCCTGTCTCGGCCTTGTTACTTATGGCTTCGTTTGTCAATTGACCGACGTCTTCTGCCAAACACAACACACACTCATCTTGACTGTACCAGGCTGCAAACTCAGCTTCTATACATTCATTACAAGGGTGTGTCGCTGTGTTCGGGGGGAAGACGGTAGCCTCGTCATGATCTCGATTTGTGCATCTCACATGCTTGCGCACCAGCCATGCCAATCTTCTCTTTGTCTGTATCGTTCCACTTTAAAGTTTAAACGGAATGTGCCAAAGGACGCTTGTCACAGAAAGTTATGGTTTACAGATGGATGAATGTTATTCATCGACCATTGTGTTTAAACCGCCTCTGTTGTTCACAGTGTTTTCACTGTTCAGTGTTCGCGGAACTCCTGAGTTACCTGCTGAACATAGCTTCTAGAGGAGGCCAGATATACAGTCTATCTGCAGCAACAGTGGATACCGACCGTGTTTCACAGGACAGTGATGGTTTGAATGACGACCATCTGCGAGGCTGATCTAAATTTACAGCCGTGCTCAAGGAGGCTGCACTTTCAATTTGCCGGCCTGTCTGCTGCGATGACACGCACTCAATGGGAAAACTCGAAACCCTATTCAGATGAAACTTGCCTTGGAGAGCTGGTGGTTCAGAAGACCAGTACTCGTTTATTTCTTGATTTATTTTTAATTAGGACTGTTTCTCAGTTCGTGTGTGCCATCCTTGCACAGGGGCCATGCTTATCTTCTTTCTCTGTATCATTCCAATTTTTACGGGTGTCCCAAAGGGCACTTGCCTGGGTACTCCTATCTATTGTAGTCTCTGAAATCTCCTTCCGTGGCCGCTACACGACTCTTGCTCATTTCTCTTGACTGCCAGGAGCAGTGTGAAATGAGTTCATGGTGCACATTCACACAATGATTCATGTCGACAGGGGAAGGGGAGAGATCTGAAGCATGGACATGTCCAGCAGTCGATCCTCCCCAGCGAAGGGGATAGATCTGAAGGGGAGAGGCGTAAGCAATGCTGTTGGAGGTCTCTGTGGCCGTAAGGATCGCTTCAACGTGCTGGTGAAATAAGCATCGGGAGTATTGACTGCTAAACACACAGTTGATCTATAGTTGATCTATAGTTGATCTATAGTCGATCTATAGTCGATCTATAGTCTCCCCCGAGTCCAAACATACGGCTGACTGATCGCTCTCAGAAAATCTCTCTCTCTCTCTCTCTCTCTCTCTCTCTCTCTCTCTCTCTCTCTCTCTCTCTCTCTCTCTCTCTCTCTCTCTCTCTCTCTCTCTCNCTCTCTCTCTCTCTCTCTCTCTCTCTCTCTCTCTCTCTCTCTCTCTCTCTCTCTCTCTCTCTCTCTCTCTCTCTCTCTCGTGCGTGCGCGCGCACTCGCTCTCGCTGTGTGTGTGTGTGTGTGTGTGTGTGTGTGTGTGTGTGTGTGTGTGTGTGTGTGGCCGGCACTGGGGTCCTGACCAACGGCCTGCTCTACACTCATGGGACTGAATGATCTGAGTCCTGTCTGCCCGGTATGCGCTGGCCAATTATAAAACCATAGGCACCCCTCGTTCAAGAAAGAAAAGAAAACTGGCACAGACGATGCGAGACATAATGTAAAAATGGCCATGCTTATCTTATTTCTTGATTTGTTTATAATTAGGACTGTTTCTCGATTCATGTGAGTGCGGACCGGTAGGCATAAAGAAGAGTAGCCCGGCTGGGCTACGAGCGCGCCCTTTGGCATTGTGGTCCCCACCGGTACAATGAGACGAAGAGCCCGGTTCCTATTCCAGCGCTGTTACTTAGCAGTGGAAGTGCGTTCGTTGCTTGGTGATCCTGCCTCTAGCTTGTGCACTCCGTACCATCTGCACCCGAATAGAACGCCCGGTCATTATAGCTGTATTTGGCACAACTTTCAGCCCAGATACGGCGATAATTACCGGGGGTTCTATTCTCGGGTGAAGACGGTAGGCTGAAAGTGCTGGTACAGAAGAAGATGGGCACGTTGGCGCTGCTGGTCAACCGTCCAAACATGGGGAACCGTGCAGCTGAAACAGAACGAAAGATGAGAGCAAACGGAAAAAAGAGAACTGAAGAATGCCCTGTCATTATTGCTGCTGCATCGGGACTGAAAGTTGTGCCAAATACAGAACGGCGTTCCAGTCTGTCTTCCGATTCTTCTTGCCTTCCACCACTTGTGTTCTACTACCTTCTTCACCCGAATAGAACGCCCTGTCATTATTGCTGCTGCATCTGGACTGAAAGTTGTGCCAAATACAGGTTTAATGACTGGGTGGCCTACTCAGGTGAAGACGTTACGGAACAAAGTGCGAAGTCCTGGAATGGTGTTCCATCCACCCATTTGTCCGTGCCCTTTCTTTCGCGATTGCTTTGCTCGAGGATGATTGCCAGATATGACTGTAAGTAGTGCAAACTATGGGACACAAAAAAAAATGTCCCCACGATCAGACCCTCCGCGCTCAAAAGTACGTAATAACTTGTAAGTTGGCAGTTGAATCACAGGGTGAATGTCAGTGGTATGATATCCTTCTTGGTCATGTGGTGAATGTCATCCTGACAGTTGAATAGCAGTTTGAAGAGCAGTTCAATGGCAGTTCTATGGCATTTGAATGATAGTTCATCGACAACATGACAGTGTGACAGCGCGCCGTCAGCTGTCAAAAATGTCAGACCAGCCTGACCCTTTGTAACTGTGCATAGAGAAGTAAGCACTTGATTAACAGTGTGACTGACTCAATGCTTGTGTGTGTGTGTGTGTGTGTGTGTGTGTGTGTGTGTGTGTGTGTGTGTGTGTGTGTGTGTGTGTGTGACTCTGTCAGGATGGTGTCGCTTCACTGACCGAGTATGTGATGACAAAGTGGGGACCACAAGATGAAAACAGATCTGAAAAGGCTCAACAGATCTTATCTGGGATGCTTCTTCAAGGAAGAGCCTTCGGGCAACAGGGTTCTGCTGTCTCAAGCCATGTTGCTGGAACTGCCTGGCCTAACAGAGAAGCGACGACTTCATCATCGCCGTTTGTGTCCGCGGTTGCCGGCCAGGAAGCTTCTCGGGCTCACAAGCTTTCCGCACAACCGTCGAGCCTGACGCAGACAGCTGGAGGAACAGCAGGTTCAAAGCTAGCTGGCAATGACAACAGGAGAAAAGACGGAGGACAGAGCCGAAAACATGGGGATGAAGATGATATGCCAAGCCGCATGAGGGTGGAGGTATGTTCTGTGCCGCGAGTGGCCTTGAAAAGGCATCAGTATCAATAAATGCCTGCTTGTTTGTTACCCATCTGGCAAACTGGCACCCTCTCCCTCCACTGTTACGCTTACTCTCTCCACACACCTGTAGTGCACTTCTGACTGCTGGGAACTTGCTCTCCCAGTGCTCTCTCTCTCTCTCTCTCTCTCTCTCTCTCTCTCTCTCTCTCTCTCTCTCTCTCTCTCTCTCTCTCTCTC